ACCTTAATGAAAAGGTTCTTTTCAACAAAAATCGTTGARCAGCTTAACTTCTAAGACTTAAAAACTTACTAAGTTTATCACAAAAATCTTATTTACAATTATGAAAYTCGAAAATATACACAGTAAAATTCCCCATTAGGGAGAGTACTTATAGTCGTGCGGGACTACCGGACATAACACATAATCGGACAGATTTCATGAACGAAACTTTTCAATTAAGATTTTCATACAAAAACAATTCCTTAAAAATTTTAACTGTATATAACAACTTAATGTTTTCATACAAACCGATTAGTATAACCGGACAAGAAACCATTCGAATAACCAGACACGGACACCATTTTGTTAACATTTCATTCAAATTTTTTGTGATTCTGATAATCTGAAGAGATTTCACAAAATATGTGTAGGCAACTGTGTACAATTTGCATTTTTCATTTTTTGTCTTTTTATAATTCTTATTAGAATTTGGAGTTCTGCGTGCATTTTTTAAAAAACAATTACCCAAAACGATCAAGTTAGATAAATTGACTTGAGCTCGCGCGGTCTGGTTCGCGGTGGCTCAGCGGAAACTAATGGAATAATTGGCAAACATTCGCTACTGCATTACATTGGCTCACAGTTCTTAGTTCAATTGAAATATAGTACTGATTTGCAGCTTCAAACTCTAAGAATACAATTGAAACACACGTGAACCGCGCTCAAAGCCGGACACCGCGAAGGTGAGTGTCCGTTTATGAAGAATTTCACTGTATTGCGACATAAATTTATAAGAAAGCAATAAGAAAATTGAGTTATTTTTAGTACAACTTATAAGCTTAACACTTTTTTTTTTTAGTATTCGGGAGATCTGACATAGAAAATTAATTAATTAAAGATAAAAAAAAAAATTAAATTAAATTAAGTAAAAGTGAAAAATAAATGTAATACAAGTCTTATACCAACAAATCTACAAAAAATCATTAAACACAGCTTTACTGTTATAAAAGTATACATAAAGTGTTGCATAAATGTAAATAACGGTTAGCAAACAAGAACCCCACACTTTATAAGGCAAATAAAAAACCAATAAAATAACGGTTGACCAATAAAAACRAAAGTTAGTCGGCGACTTAAGTTAGATAAATATTTACAAAGCGATAATAGAGCGGCATCGCATAGGGATTGACGAAATTCATTAGTAAATAATAGAAATAAGACATGAGGTATGAATGTGTCTTACTGCCGGTGGGATCGGAGCGTGCCACGGCGAGCAGCGAGGCGGCACAGAGCAGATAAAAGATGAAGCGAGGATGCGCGGTCGAAGGCATTTTGGCGCACAAGCAGACGCAGCACAATTTTGCTATTAGTTTTTGGAATTGTTTTCGCTTTACGATTAACGGTAAATTTCACTTTTACGCTTTTAATGCACACTTGGTTTTGATTTTGTTTTTTAGCGCACACTTTGCGAATGWATTTSACGCATTACACAGACAACACGGGCKTAAACGAAGCAATTTTGGCAATAAACACAGTTCAAGGTAATTTAATTGCAAGCGAATTTCACAAAAAACGACACAAGTGAGATCAAGAAAGCAAAAAAAAAAAAAAAGCAAAAGATGCAAAAGTGACCAGCGCCCACTTGTTGGACGAGAGTAAACTTTCGCTTTCGATAAGCGTTCGATGTTTTGGCCAGCGATTGACGGCTTTTATGCGCTGCGCATGCGCAAATCAGTCAGCGAAACGTTGCTAATTAAAGGTGCCGCCACTGCTAACGGCAGCCAAAAGTGAATTTTGTTGGGTGATGTGTGTAGACAGCAGCTGCCGCAAGGCTCCAGGCTGCAATGWTAACGTTGAAGGTACTTCCGCACTACACTTTCCTTCACGGAGTTCGATTAACAAGCGTTGGTCTAAAGTTGAACTAAGYACTGTGTCGAATCGAGCTGTGCTGTGTGTATATCACTTTTCAATTTRTGCGCGTTCACCACTACCGTTCGTGCTAATGGCCAAAAGCCAACTGAACTGTGTGTGCTCACGCATAAAACGGTAGCACCTCTTAACGATCGGGCCAATAATATAAAACCAAAATAAGCCACAATCACAGACGTCGCCGCAAACCAGCTACGCGCTGACAACACGAACTAGCAATTACAACAATATCACTCAGTTTTAATTTCTTCGCATCTCGCCGCTTACTCTTACGCCTGGCTGCGCGCTATCACCAACCGCTGCCGGCACTTGTAGATCAACACTGTCGGCCAATGGCCCATCGCGCTGAACACGCATATCTGCCCTGCCGCCGGCTATTGCTCGCCCGTTGTTTGGCGACAGTTTACAACACGCTTTATGGCCGCTCACCCCGCGCGCTCMCTCTCACGGCGTCGTCTATGGTTTCGGCATTGCTTATCGGCAGTTTTGGCGCAAAAACCAGTATTTTGGTAACAAAATAAAAATACTCCACTTTACAACAACTCGCTTACAAAGTTGCGTGTTTGCACTTCAATTTCTCTTAAATGTTTGTTTTCATTTTCTCTGCGTTTCTCACTTTTTTGCTCGATCATTCGGCACCTCTCCACAGTCCATTGATCATTATGTCGCGCTAGTTTACGAAGTCTATCAGTTGTGTTTGTTGTTTTATCAAGTCAAGTGGGTAGAAGTGCATATGTACAGTGTTGAGTAAATAAATAGCAGCAGCATAAAGAGATTACTAAACTAGTAACTGATGTTATGGGGTATACATATCTAAATTTGGGAGTTGGACTGTCATAATTATTCTCTAGTTTTAACTTGGAACGTATATTGCCGGAGATAATTTTTGTTTGCAAATTTATATTCAACATGGTTCTTTCCAAGGGTTATGGTGACCCTCCAACTTTCGATACTATTTCGATTTGTCGTTTGCTTCAAAATAGACCTCAGTTTCGGTGATCACCTCTTTATTCGACGAAAACTTCTTCCCAGCGGCCATACTTTTGAGATCTGAGAACAGTTAATAGCCGCTGGGGTCCAGTTCTGGATATACTGTCAATGTGGAAGCAATTCGAAGCTTAATTCGTGGCTTATTGCCACCGTTTTTACTGTCATGTGATCTGTGTATTGCCTTGGGGAAACAGTATTTTCGTTATCTTTAAATGCGGAAGTTTTCGGCGAATTCGTCTTTTAAATGGACCAGTAAACGCCATGTAGTTAGCGCTGTTGATGGTCTTTCTTTTTTCAAGAACATTATTTCATACGCATCCCAAAATACAGACGCTATAACCTTGCTAGCGATTTGCCACGCTTTGGAGTGGGTTCATCATGGGCATAGAAAATCGGATATATTATGGGAAGTGTTGACTATACAATTGACCACCTCTTTTAATCACGATACCATAGAACAAAACACAACAACAGGGTTTGAAAGTCATCGTGTCGGGATCAGAGAGTTTGCATCAATGCTAGACTCATACCAAAACACCAGAATCTTTTGAAAAAAGCGACGACACATCAAAAATGTTTTCAAATATACATTATTTTATACAACACTGTACATTTAACACTAGACTTTCTAGCTTATTAATTAATATACTCAGATTTATATGACATGTTCTGCTCATACTCAGTGTGTATTTGTAAATATGAAAATGCATGCCCTGTCAGAAATTTCAGCCAACTTCACAAACTTCCTATGTACTCCTTCTTCTTTATTGACATAGATACAGAGATCCCGTTTACGCAGTTACAGTAGAGTTTACAACAGCGCGTCGCCATTCCAAGATACCAAGTGCAGTCATGTCCTTCTCCACCTGTTCTTTCCAGCGAAATGGAAGGCTTTCTCTTTCTCTGCTTCCCCTCTGCGGGGACTGCGTCTAATACTGTCGSGGCTACGCTGGCTGTGTCTTTATTCGCTGAACTAAGTCATGTCGTCGTCTCGATCCATCGACAGCGGTATTCGTCATGCGTAAAGGACCATAAATCTTCCGCAGAACCTTTCTCTCGAAAACTCGTAACGTCGACTCATCAGATCTTGTCATCGTCCATGTCTTTGCACCATATAACCGGATGGAGATAATGACTGTTTGTAGAATTTGGTCTTTGTTCGTCGGAAGTGGACTTTGTTTCTCAATTGCCTACTCAGTAGTTCGAAGTTCAATGACAGGAGATATTTCGTCTTGYCCTCGTTCACTGTCAGACTCGCGATTGTTAAGGTCAATGACTCAATATCACCGGCGTATATCAGCAGCTGAACACTCTTATAGACGATTTTGTCTTCTCTATTCAACTTTGCAGCTCAAATTATTTTCTCCAGGTGTATATTGAAGCAGTCGCACGATAGGGATTCCTCTTGCCTGAAACCTCGTTTGGTATCGAAGGGAGAGGTCCTTTCCGATTCTGACGGAGCTTTTGGAGTTGATCAACGTCATTTACTACTAGTGTTTCGGGGATACCACATTCAGACATAGCCGCATAAAGGCAGTTCCTTTTTGTGCTGTCAAAAGCAGCTATGAAATCGACGAATAGTTGATGTGTGTCGAYTCTCTTTTCTTAAGCYTTTTCCAAGCTTTGGCGCTTGGTGAATATCTGRTCAGTTGTTRATWTTYCAGTTCTAAACGATACTTATAAGGTCCCATCAGTTTGTTGACGGTGGGCTTTAATCTTTTACACAATGCGGTCGATGGAAGCTAATGAGGAGACTTGTTCCAGGTTCCAGTTGTCGCAGGTTGTGTGGTCTCTCTTTTTGTTGAGGACGGAGCCTGGTGCAGAAGTTCACGTTAGAGAGGAAAGTTCTATAAGCGAAATTCACTTGGGAGCGGCCASTGATGATTCTTTTATATATGTCTCAAGCAGCTCACGACTTCTCCTCTTAGAACAGATATACTCTGGAGCGCCGAAATACATCCGTTTGATGGGAAACATCCTGCTGAGGGTTGTATGCTGGGTTTGGAAACCGCAATGTGATAATCCAATGTTAATCTAAAATTACCTAAAGAAGTGAGTTTTGGAAATTAAAAAAAGAAAAAAAACTGCAGCAATTGTCCCTCCGTCCGTTCAAGGGCTTTATAATAACCTACTAAAAGAGGTGTAACTCTTAGACGTGCCAAAAGTAGAAAATTTTATTTAAAAGTAAGAGAAGTATTTGATAGTGTTCAGAACGGATTTGTGTCCTAGTAATCACTGCAGCAAATTCGAAAAATGCTGTTTATAGAAAAACACTTTGGAAGCTAAACTGATGGAGCTGATTGTGATGAGTGTACCAATTAATAATAAATCTTGAAAGTTAATCCTGAATAATTTCCAGCAGGGTCTGTATGTAATTTGYAAATAGTAGATGAACATTTCTGTCAACATTTTGGTCACCTATTGTTTCGAAACTGTGTCAGTTGGTAAGGACTTTTATTGTATTTAAASCACAGTTATCTATGCTACAATATCAAAATCAAATTACGTTATTTATATATTTTTAGAGAAACAATTATTATAAATTTATTGGTAATGTTTTTTCGTGGCATTTACTTGATTTTGATTTGAGACGAAAATTAGAATACGTGAAACCAAAACCAAACTTTAATWTCGTTTCTGTTACCATCCACTGCTACCAAAATAAAGTGCAACAACAAACAATTGATCGAAATGTAGTTAAAGTRTTTCGCCGCTTTCCACTACTTCCTCTGCTTCTAATTTCATAACTTYACTTGCATTTGTCACACTTTCCGTGTTCCCAAGCCAATCAAATCGACATATTCAGACACAAATCTTCCAGCACAAATGCACTCGATTGCAATAATGTCAAAGCGAAGAAAGTTCGTGGGCTTCAACTGCAATAATAATGTCAGCATGATGWGTGCATTATCTTTGTCTCAGATAGCATAAATACTTGTATAATAAGAACTTTCCATTGCTTTTTCGGAGCAAATAAAATCAAAGATTTTTTGTCATCTTGATTGTTATATTTGTAGAAAGTGAATATTATTGATCAATGAAGTAGGTCAATTACTTTCATTTACAGAAAAAATTGATTTATCGGAAACTTGTCTTTGATTTTTTACGCCACAGATAATAAAGACTTAAGAATTTATAGAGTTAGTTTTAATAATATATTTTTAATGGTAAAAGTATACAACAATAATACTACTTTGAAATAGCCATGTTGTGTTATTTATGGTTTGGCCTCCTTCGAAAGTAATTAACTTCGTTTTTCAGGAGGCTTAGATCAATATATACCTTTGACTAATATATGTGACCTGGTCTACGAAAAGGGGGCTAACGTGCGAAAAAAAAATATAAAAAAAATTAATGTTAAAAATCTCATCTTCCCTCCGAATCAACTAAAAAACGAAAATTGATTTTTTGGATTTTTTGACACCTAAGGGGGCTTAGGACCTCCGTAGACCAGGTCACTTATACCGATTGTGGCCCACTCTTCAATGTAATTAGTATATTATGTGCAAATTTCTAGATAATCACTGTCTTAAGATCTATCATCTGTGTCATAGATGAAAAATATTCATGCCTTTGTGGTGGATTTTTCGAAAGACGGCTAAGCGAAGATGGCTGAGTTTAGCAGTAACTTGATAGATCGAAAATTTTGATTTAGCATTATGCTTAATATGGTTTAAGGCAACAAGTGGTATGAATAAAAATAGAGTAGTGTAAATTAATGTTCGGTCGAACTAAATAAGCTCGAACCGGAAAGCATTTCATATATTACTTTGTCGTATGGGCGATGGGGGTTCGGTTTTAAGAAGATATATTTCATTGATCTCTAACTAACAAATTTCCCAGCCATTTTGATTATTTTTTCTGAAAACAATTTGCTTTAAAGTAACTTCTGTAATAGAYATAAAAGTCCTTAAGACTCAGACTTAAAGTTTTTAATTGTTTAAAGTTTGTCGTTGATATTTCATGCAAAAAAGTACCATACGATTAAAATTGACACAAAAGATAGACACGAGAGCCAATAAAAGTATAACAACAGGTAATGCAATTTTCCATACAATTRTTCTAAGGCTCTCCTGGGAAGTTTTAGTTTTCT